TCACAACAACAAAAAACTAAAGAAATTAATTTTTTCTGGATCTGTCAGATAATAGAGGTCAAAAGGCAAACCACAAGCCCTAAATCTGGAGAGAAAAACAAATAGAGATCAGCTTACTTGGAGCAGAAGGATCAAGTAAGACCATTTAGGCAGGGAAAGAATATTGGTAACTAAGTGTTACCAATAACACTGCTAATTAAGTATTACCAGCTAATTGGTAATATTTATTAGCAGTTTAATTAAGTATTACCAGCTAATTGGTAACTAAGTGTTGGTAACTGTTACTAATTAGCTGGTAATAAGTAATTAGCAATGTTATTGGTAGGAATGCTTAATTGGTAATTTAGAGAATTCATTGGAGGCTAGCTTCAAAAATCTTCCAGGGACCCAGTCTTAGGGGGAGCTTCACATTTTCATGGAATTTACCTCCAGTAATGCTACTAGGTTCTCATGGTGAATATACAAGAAAAATCTCATGTTTTGGAGGAGGATAAAAGTAACTATTTTGAAATACACTGAGAGTGTTCCACGTAACAAAGGACTGCTCTCCAAGGGAAATGACTTTATCAAATACTTATATAACTTGGGAGAAAGGCAATATGCCAACTCCTGCCCTCTTTAGCCTTCCTGTCTCACCTAAGGGGTAAACAGAAAGACTAAGAACTGCGTCTGAAGGTCACAGGCCAGGGACTCAGGCCTACTAAAAGACAGATTAAATCGTATGATTGTAGAACACTTCCCCTCTCCCCACACTTTACCACATATCAATAGGATTCTTGTGTAACAACAGGATGATAAAACTGAGAAGGCTGCAAGACACAGATTCTGTTTTTAAACTTCTTAGGGAAATTCAAAGACAACAGGGAGGGAAAAAGAAGGGACATGAGAGAAAAGTAAAACTGCAACCTTTGACACCTTCAGCTAAATCAAACATTAAACGCAGCCCAACACCTAGCCAGATTAACATAAAACCTCACACTTAACTGAAGCTCCCACACTGCCTGCTATATAGCTGTCTACAGTCATGTATTTTCCTGTCCTGCACAATGTAATCACACTCTGCAAGAAGCTAAAGCTTACTGGCAGGCCCTTACTTATCTAGGTATATCCAAACCCTGATGAATGACAGCACACAGGGACCTACCATTGCCAATGACCTACTCTGCTGCATCAAGGAACTGCAGTAGATTTGTCCTTGTCCCATTCTATTGGCTCCTCATGTGATGCCCTTTTGGTGTAAGCCAATGCCCTATAAACTAGCCAACTTACACCCATTGGTGCCCCACCACTTAATTTCATCCTTTGGGTGAAATGACCCCCACACAAAAGCCTTTAAAACTATACCTCCCTTCATGCTTAACGCTTGGGACCTGGACATAACTACTCCCTATGGTCTCCACAGTGACCTCCACCACTGCATTAGCACCAGTCCCATTGTCCAGCAATCCATGCTTCACTCTGCACTATTCCTTCGTCATGACACCACATCCTACTTTCTTCAACTTGCCAGATAATACATGTGAAACAGCAACAGAACATGTCATCCAAGAAATAAAACTCCAACAACGCTGGGCCTGCCAGCAGGCGTCCCAATCTGGGTAACCACTCGTACAACTAATTTCCACACTCTTGGGAGGTATTTGATATCCATACTACTATCTAGTTGCCATCCTCTCTGGTCACCCTCCAGCTCCTTTACTTCCCCAGGCACTCCCTCAACCTCACCAAGGTTCTTCCTCATGAAATTTCCCTTCACAGTCCCACCTTTCCTGCCCTCTATCAACGATAGTATATAAAGCCATTGAAAGTACAAGGGTCTCACACGTATGCACTGGTGAATGCCCTTCCCATAAAAGGGGATACCAGGCCACCTTTTTATATATTATAAATTGGGCCTCGTCACAATCTCTGGTATAATAGGCATAAGTCTAGATCTTTTCAGTTCTGTAGCAGACTTCGTTCTTAGAGCTGCTAAACAATGTCACAATTCCTGGCAGACCATATATACCAAATAGCCCAAGATTTAGAAGCCCTTAATGAGATAAAGCTCTGTAGCTGTCATGGTAGTTGATAAAATACTGCATTAGATGAACTAGTGGCATCTCAAGGTGGCCCTCTGAAGGGAACCTCTGGCTGCGTGTAGGTCAATAAAAACAGGAAAGCTCTCCAGAATGATTCAATAGATAAACCAAAACAGTCAACGATGTTACTCAGTTACTAAAATGTAGCAAGAGTTTCTGAATCCCCATTTCTTCTCCTGACTGCCTCCTTCTGCCTGGATTAACATCATCTGGTGCCACATTATCTTACAGGGAGCTATCATCGTTGTTGGCCTAATTTTATTGGGTCAACTTTGCATATTTGGCCTCTCTCAAATGCAAGTTTATTTACAGGAAACCTGGGAGTTTGCTGCTAACCCAAACATCAGGGGTGAATTGTTAAGATTGGAGGAAACTTGGAGTTTGACTTAGTGCAAGCCACCTCTAGGCATCTCTTGCCTATGTCCAGTCTCCCTCACAATCCTGATAACGTTCACTTACTGCTCCACAAGTGCATATGCCCTCCACCACCTCTTTTAAACTCTGTGCTGGCAGGACATCCCCCTTTATAAACTGACTGAACACTGACTATTCTTTCTCTCTGTTTTGGACCTTTTTCTGGGCAGCCCTCCCACCCCTGTAATCATCTCTCTTTGATCATTCCAAAGGACTACTGTCAGGAGTTTTGACATACAAACCTAATCTTGGAAGGACTTTTGACATTCAAACCTAACCTTGGAAGAAGTTTCCCCATATCATAGTAGAGGGGCTGTAATAGGCATATAAATTGGGAGGGAAAAGCACATTTTTTTTTCCTTCTTTTTTTTTTTGCAGATGACAGGATTGTCTACACAGAAAATCCCAAGCAATCAATAGAACAGCTACTTAAACCAATAACTAAGATTGGCAAGATCACAGGACACAAGGTCAACATAAAACAATCAACTGTGTTTCTATATATTGAAAAAGAACAATTGAAAATTGAAATTTGAAAAACAGTACTAATTTAGAACCCCCAAAAAAGGAATGTGTAGGTATAAATCTAACAAAGTATGTGCAGGATCTGTAGGTTAAAACTACAAATTACTGAAGAAATAAGGGAGTCCTAAACAAATAGGCAGATACTGTGTATATGGTTTAGAACATTCTCAGTATTGCTAAAATGTCAATTGTCCCCAAACTCATCTATAATATTCATTGTAATCTCAATAAAAATCCCGGCAAATTATTTTTACAGATGACAAAGCTGATTCTGGAAATTATGGTAAGGCAAACAAATTTGATAGCCAAAATAAAATAATGAGTTGGAAGACTCACACTATCTGGTTTGAAGACATTATATACAGATACAAAAGTCAAGATGTGCAATATTTGGCAAAATGATAGACACATAAATCAATGAAACTGCATTGAGGCCAGAAAAAGACCCATACACGTATGGTTAGTGGATTCATAAAGGTGCCATGGCAATACTGAAAGAATAGTTAATTGGATTCTCATATGCAAATAGTGGACCTCCGTTATATAAAGGTTCACATCTTACATAAATACTAACTCAAATATATCATAGACCTAAATATAAAACCTGAAAACATAAAAGTTGTGATAAAAAAAAGTGGGAGAAAAATCTTTGTGACCTTGGATTAGGCTGAGTTCTTTTATTTGAAACCAAAAGCACAATCTACCAAAGACAAAAAAGGAACTTCATTTAAAAAAAAATTTCTAGTGTGAAAAATACTGTTAATGGAATAAAAACACAAGTCACATAATGGTATACAATATTTGCAAAACACATAACTGACAAAGATATCTATCCAGAACATATAAAGAACTCTCAAAAATCAATAACAACTCAGGTTTTAAAAAAATGGACAAAAGATTTGAACATATTTCACAAAAGAAAATAGGCATATGGGTAGCAAACAAGCAGTAAAGATGCTCAATGGCCATTAAGGAAATGTAAATTAAAACCAAAATGAAATCCCAGTATAAAACCTTTGAAATCCTAATAACAAAATAAAAACAAAACAAAACCCTGACATACCAATTGTTGGTGAAGTTAAGGTACTGGGACTTTCATACACTGGTAGTAGGAATGTAAAATGGTACAGTTATTTTAGAAAAGTCTGTCAGTTTTTCATAAATATACTGTTACCATACAACCCAGCAATTCTACTCCTAGATATTTACTAAGACAAAAGAAAATGTGGATACACAAAACTGTTTGCAAATGTTGACAGCAGCTCTCTTCATAATCACTACAAACTGAAAACCCAAATATCCCACCAGTGATAAATGGATAAACAAACTGGCACATCCATATGACTACTATTCAGCAATAAAAAGAAATGACTTCTGTACTGATACATGCAACAAGACAGATGAGTCTCAGAAGCATTAAGTGAAAGGTGACAGACTCCAAAGGAAACATACTCTAGGATTCCATTTATATGACATTCTGGTAATGATATAAACTATACAGATGGAAAATAAGTCAGTGGTTGACAAGGGCTGGTGATGGGGAGAGGGACTGACTAAACAGAACAAGCAAGTTTCAGGGCAGGGGGTGCTAGAACTGTTGAATGTCTTGATTGTGATGGTGGTGTTCATATGACAGCACTTGCCAAAATGCATAATGATACACTAGTCAGTTTCACTGTATATAAATTATTCCCTAATAATGTAAAAAAAGTCAGTTTCACTGTATATAAATTATTCCCTCATCTGTAAAAAAATAAGGTTAGCTTGTATGATTTTCATGGATGCCTTTTATGAAAAATTTTTTCATCATGAGTGGATGCTGAATTTTGTCAAATGTTTTCTCTGAATCTACTGAGATCATCATACATTTGATCATAAGAATCTAGATATAAGAGTACATACTAAATCCATAGGAAGCTCAGGAACAGACCTAAGTAATTTACGGTATAGAAATCATAATACTTGGCACTGGAGGTGGGATTGACTGGAAATGGGCACAAGAAAACTTTTTGGTTTAATAGACATTGTACACATGGATCTTGGTGATTATTACATTTGTCAAAATTCAGGAAGCCATAAACTTGAGACTTGTGCATGTTACTGCATGCAGATTACACCTCAATAAAGTACTGTTAACATACAAAATTTCTAGTTGCTAGCCAGAAACTGATCTCTGGACCCACTAACAAGCCGCAACCTTCAGTTTGATAAACACTCATCCACGAGACCTGCAAAAATGGGAAAATCAGGCCATATGACTAACTTATATATCTTCCAAGCATTGCAGAATTCTTCTTCTGAGTACAATTTTAGAGAAACTTTTACAGATAAATGTCAAATATTACTGAATTTCAAGTATGACAGTAATTTCAAATATTACTGAAAAATTACAATGTGTTAGGCACTGAAAAGGCAGAGTAGATTTGGCAGTCAACAAAGTCCCTACCCTCTTGGACCTTATATTCTAGTGGAATAGCGTTCAGCATTCCCATCTTAGTACTTCTGGTTTACTCCAGATCAGACTCATCCTTCCTGATCCTCTTGTCTGCATGTATCAGCTAATGGTCAGTGTTCTGAATGCAGTCCATATGTCTCCACTCTTGTGAGGTTTCTCTGCTGTGTGGTCTCCCAATCACTCGGCCGAACTACTGACTTTATAAAACAAATGTTTTGTCTATGATAGCTCTGATAATTAAAATATTTCAGCACCCATCTGAGATAGTAAAACATATTTTATCGAGTTTTCCTGTGTGAATCCTCTGATGAAGGAAAGTCCTTGTCACCCTCATCATCAGCATGGACTCGCTGATGAATGATGAGACTTGAGCTCCAACTGAAGCCCTTCCCACACTCCTCACATTTGTATGGTTTTTCTCCAGTGTGAACTCTTTGATGGGCTTGAAGGTATGAGCTCCAGCTGAAGACTTTCCCACATTCCTCACATTTGTATGGTCTCTCTCCTGTGTGGACCCTCTGGTGGGCCTGAAGGTAGGATCTTTGCCTGAAGCGCTTACCACACACATCACATCGGTATGGTTTTTCTCCTGTGTGGACTCCACGATGTGCCAGAAAATTTGAGGCCCGACAGAAGCCCTTCCCACACTCCTCACATTGATAAGGTTTCTCTCCAGTGTGGCACCTCTGATGGGCTTGAAGCTGTGAACCTACACTGAAGCCTTTCCCACACTCTGCACACTGATATGGTTTCTCTCCAGTGTGGACTCTCTGATGCACCTGAAGGCTGGAGAACTGACTGAAGGCCTTACCACACTTCTCGCATTTATAGGGTTTCTCTCCTGTGTGGATTCTACAGTGTACATTAAGATCTGAGCTCCGACTGAAGCCCTTCCCACATGTACCACATTTGTAGGGTTTCTCTCCAGTGTGGCCTCTTTGATGGGCCAGAAGATTTGAGGCCTGGCTGAAGCCTTTGCCACACTCCTCACATTTATAGGGTTTTTCCCCAGTATGGACTCTAAAATGAATGTTAAAATCTGAGCTACGACTGAAGCCCTTACCACATGCATCACACTGATATGGTTTCTCTCCAGTATGGCCTCTTTGATGGTCCAAAAGATTTGAGGCCCGGCAGAAGCCTTTCCCACACTCCTCACATTTGTATGGTTTCTCTCCAGTGTGGCTTATCTGATGGGCCTGAAGGTGTGAACCCACACTGAAACCTTTCCCACACTCCTCACATTTATAGGGTTTCTCTCCTGTGTGGATTCTACAATGAATGTTAAGGTGTGAGCTGTAACTAAAGCTCTTGCCACAAGCATTGCATTTGTATGGTTTCTCGCCAGTGTGGATTCGCTGATGAGCCTGTAGTCGTGAACGCCAACTGAAGCTCTTCCCACACTCTTCACACTTATATGGTTTCTTTCCAGCGTGAACTTTCAGATGAACCTGAAGATACGATCTCTGACTGAAGCCTACCCCGCACTCCTCACATTTATAGGGTTTCTCTCTCGTGTGAACTATCAGACGAGCTTGACAATGTGAGCTTTTCCCAATGTTCCTCCCACACTCTTCATATCTGTATGGATTCTCTCCAGTGGGAACTCTCTGATGATGGTGAAGATGTGACCTCTGACTAAAACTCCTATAAGCTGCATCATCTGTGTATGATTTTGCTCTACTGTGAACTCTCTGATGGGCTTGAAGACTTGAAAACCGACGGAAGGCATTATCACATTTTTCACATTTGTAGGGCTTCTCTCCTGCATTAGCCCTTCGGTTAATTTGAAGATGAGGGCTCCAGCTGAAACTTTTCACACAATGTTCTCCTTTGTAGGGTTTTTCATCAGTGTGGACTCTGTGGTGAACTTGAAGATGGGAACTTTGATTACTGAATCCCTCGTCTTTATAGTGCAAATCATCTCGTTTTTCCAACTGACAGCCTGTTCTTTGAATGTTTACCACAGAATCTTGATACTTGGTTAACTCTCTTGTAATCTGTTGCCAGATCTGGGAGCAGAAAAATTCTTCATGAGACAGGTACCTTAATCCTACTTCTTGAAGAGTCTCCATCTCTTTTAGATTCTTGCCTCCTAAAAGGATAAAGAAAATTTGGAGATGGGAGCATGTGAATAATGTTTTGTTCCAAGATGTCAAGTTTATAAACTCAGGCCCACAGCCTAAGGCTTCATTGAACCAGGAGAAGGTTCCGTTTCTCATTATCATCATGTACATGTACCAAGACACCAAGAGGGAGTCATCTGGTTCTCATTCACTACACATTAATGAGACCTGCTTAGAAACACACTAAATTTCTGTGTGAGCTACCAGGTAAAAATGTGGTGGTTGCAGAACAGGAAACATGTTTCCTAAGAAATCTTTACCAAGAAACTGCACCTTAGAAAAAGCCTAATTTTTTGCTATAGCAGATGTCTAACGAATAGCTTCCACAAAATTTGCCTACTGCATAGACATCTGAACAAAGTGGCCCTGTTCAAAATGTCTAGCAAAACTCCTACCATAAATTATCAAAAACCTTTGCCTGCGATTATTTCATTGGAAGTTTATTCCAAGATTGGGAGATTTTGAGGCACTGTGCTAGTTAGAAAGACATACATTTTTCAGAAAATACCTTATCACCTAAGTTAGGGTCCCCAACCCCTGGGCCGTGCACCAATACCAGTCTGTGGCCTGTTAGGAAATGGGCCACACAGCAGGAGGTGAGCAGGAGGCAAATGGCCATTACTGCCTGAGCTCCACCTCCCATCACATCAGTGGCAGCATTAGATTCTTATGGGACCGTGAATCCTATTGTGAACTGTGTGTGTGAGGGATCTAGGTTGCGTGCTCCTTTTGGGAATCCAACTGAGGTCTGATGATCTGAGGTAGAACAGTTTCATTTCAAAACCATCCCCCCGACCCCAGTCTGTGCAAAAACCATCTTCCAACAAACCAGTCCTTGATGCCAAGATTGGGGATTGCTGACCTACATACCTAAAGTTCAAGTGTAAACAGATAGTGGTCCTTTACCTCTTGCTAGGAAATATCCTCCATGAGAACACCTGGGAGAAGAGGTTTATGGTAATAACATACATTATTCTAAAACCTAATAGCAATTAAAGTTTCCATAACCACCAGGGGAGTTTCACCATGTTGGTCAGGCTGGTCTTGAACTCCTGATGTCGTGATCCACCCGCCTCAGCCTCCCAAAGTGCTGGGATTACAAGTGTGAGCTACCGTGCCTGGCCCTTTTTGTTTTTGTTTTTTTTTGTTGTTTTTTTTTTTTTTTGAGACGGAGTCTCGCTCTGTTGCCCAGGCTGGAGTGCAGTGGCGCGATCTCGACTCACTGCAAGCTCCACCTCCCGGGTTCACGCCATTCTCCCGCCTCAGCCTCTGAGTAGCTGGGACTACAGGCGCCTGCCACCACGCCCGGCTAGTTTTTTGTATTTTTTAGTAGAGACGGGGTTTCACCATGTTAGCCAGGATGGTCTCGATCTCCTGACCTTGTGATCCACCCGCCTCGGCCTCCCAAAGTGCTGGGATTACAGGCTTGAGCCACCGCGCCCGGCCCCCTTTTTGTTTTTTTGAGACAGGGTCTCACTCTGTCACCCAGGCTGGAGTGCAGTGGCGTGAACCTGGCTCGCTGCAGCCTCAACCTCCTGGCTCAAGTGATTCTCCTGCCTTATCCCCCCAAGCTGCTGGGACTACAGAGGCACACCACCACACCTGGCTAATTTTTGTATTTTTTGTAGAGCTGGGGTTTTACCATCTTGCCTAGGCTGGTCTCAAGCCCCTGAGCTCAAGCTATCCACCTGCCTCCGTCTTTCACAGTGTTAGGATTACAGTTGTGAGTCCCCATCCCCGGCCCAGTGAGGCCTCTTTCCCACTCAATATCAAATAGTAAATTCTCCCCATCTACCTTATTCCCCTGGCAAGTTCCATTCACGTGTTTTGTTTTGACAAAGCACGTATTACCCTCTGACAAACTAAATATGTCCCTTATTATTTTTTATGTCTCTGTTGAACGGATGTTGCCATCCATGAGCACAAGCATTTTATATCATTCACCACTTTATCATCACCCAAGAGCTCCGCCTGACACACAGTGTTCAATAGATGTATTGAATGAAAGAATTCCCACTTGTCTTCTCTAGGAGACTTTCAGCCAAATTACAAAAGTGAAAGAACTTTTTCAAGTAAACTATACCTAATGGGAAAGGGACTGGAAAGAGCGATTCTTCTGGGAGGTTTTAAGGTTTTACTGGATGCAGGGCTAAGCTAAGTGGATAGTGCTGATGAGAAAATCATGCTGATCACAAAATCATGGTAACAATTACCTAGGAAAAAAAAATCGTAAGGCAGAAAAGTGGCCAGGGTATCTAGGGATTGATTGCTTCTAAAATTTTTGTTCTCTCATTGTTTTTGAAATTTTTCCTTTTTCAAGTAGGAGTCAATATTTAGAGCCTCGGGAATAATGTTGTCTCTGAAAGCAGACTATGAAAATGGATGGATGTAAATACATTTTTCTGTATGGATCACGCCATTGTTTTTCAAACTGAAGGCTAGGACTATTAGTTTGAAATAAATTCAGTAACTTGTGACAAGCATTAACAGAATAGAAAAATATTAGATGTGTTTTGTAAGCAGTAATGTATTTCTCTGCATAAATTATTGTTTAAGGCCACACACACACACATCTACCCATATGTGAATGTTTATATTATTTATGATATAAAATATATTTCTTATTGTAACTCATACTCAAAAGTTTGACACCTCCTAGCCTAAATGATTAAGAAAGGTATTAATTTCTTAATCAAATAAATTGTTCAAATAGAAAGTTATATTGTAATAATGGAAACTTGGAAAACAGATAAATGTGTTTCCTTTAAGTTGAAGCCTACTTAGTTTGTCATGTCTGTATATATTTTGCAAGTTTTGACTTTTATGTTTATTTATTTATTTTGAGATGGAGTTTCACTCTTGTTGCCCAGGCTACAGTGAAATGGTGCGCTCTAGGCTCACTGCAACCTCCACCTCCCAGGTTCAAGTGATTCTCCTACCTCAGCCCCCCGAGTAGTTGGGATTACAGGCGCCCGCCACCATGCCCAACTGAGTTTTGTATTTTTAGTAGAGACGGGGTTTCACCATGTTGGCCAGGCTGGTCTGGAACTCCTGGTCTCAGGTGATCCACCCACCTCAGCCTCCCAAAGTGCTGGGATTACAGGCATGAGCCACCATGCCTAGCCGCAAGTTTTCACTTTTAAATGTGACTTTTTTTTTGTCTTCCTGAGATGTGTCAATTTGAGTAGGGCAATTTCCCTATTTTGCCCAGGTTATAATGTTTGTAATTGAAAATGATATGTTAGCCCCTTATTACAATGAAGAGAAAACTAAAATCTACCTTCTTTAGAATATGTTTATTTAATGGCTATCTTCTATAACATTTATTTGCTTAGTGGCTAATTTTGTAGATAATAAAGGCATTGCCATACATACCATATTTGAATAGGGATGTCTAAAATGAGAAGTAACATTCTTTTCTGTAACTCTCTTTGGAAGAGGGGGATGGTTGCCACAAAGAAAACTTTTAAAGGGAAAGACTTAAAAGCTATTCTCTAAACATTATTTTTTCCTTGTGTAAAGTGATTTTCTTTTATAGAGACTTGCCTCAAAAGTGGCTATGAGAATCTTTATACTACAAAGTAGTTCTTCACCAAGTGAGCAAGATTCACTATTAATGGCTACAGGAAAGCCACAAGGGGGAAATGATACTCAATTTGATTACAACTAAAGCTAAGCTTTCATTAGATGTGGGTGCTATGGTCTCAATGTGTGTGCCCTTGCCATTTGTATGCTGAAATCCTAACTCCTAAGGCATTAGGAAGGTGATTATGTCATAAGGGCAGATCTTTCATGAATAGGATTAGTGCCCTTATAAAAGAGGCCTGAGAGAGATTTCTTGCCCCTTCCATTTAAGGACGTAGCAAGAAGGTGCTGTCATTGGATCAGGAAGTGGGCCCTCAGCAGACATCGAATCTGCTGATGCCTTGAACTTGGACTTCCCAGCCCCCAGAAATGTCAGAAATAAATTTCTGTTGTTTATAAATTCCCCAGTCCGTACTATTTTGTTTTAGCATCCTGAACAAACTAAGTGGGTTAATGAATACAGATCTTCATATATCCAAAAGCACCCAATAAATTAGAATTAGATTAGATATTCATCAGGGGGAAAAAACTGTTCTAGACTATGCCTTCATCACATATTTTTGTTTACCAACCTTGGAATATCTCCAAGACTAATAGAAAAAAGTCCAGCAGCCCCAGCCCCTCCTCACCTGAGGAGTTATCTCTCTGGGTTGCCATCTTCATCATCCACAGCTTTTCTTCTCTCTCTAACTGGGTTAGACCATCTGGTGTGGACTGATGCCCTGTGAAAAGGCAAGGACATAGGTTTATAATTAATACATTAGAGGCCAAAATTACTAAAAATTATTGTCCTCATTTCATCGTCTTCAGGACATCAAAATTAGTGTTTTCCACACTTCTAATCATGACCCATTGGAGGAAGTATATTTCATGCAAAGACCCAAGATATGCAGATATAAGTATAAATTACTAGAAAAAAAATATGTTTTCATCATACCCTCTCCATTGTCTCTCACATTCTTCTTGGCAACAGGACATAGTCTTTGCTGCAATGTGCAGTTATTGCCAAGTGCTCTGACATTTTCTACCCCATTTTATTTCATTAAAAAAACCAATGGTACAATTCATCAAATGTATATCATGACCCATTAATTGGAGATGACCACAATTTGAGAAAGTATAAAAGTGTATAGTTGTCATGCTGTCAAGTTATAGTTCATTAACAAAATACACACTTTTGCCAGGGGGAAAGACTAAAAATTCCATATCTGTCTTATGATGGATGATTAGAAAACTGAAAACCAGTTCAAGAGCTCCAAAGCCCTGTATACCCAAGGACAGAGAGACACCGGAGGGAGACAATGTTCAGTCAGAGAATGCCTGTCCTCACCCACTGAGACCACATTCCTGAAGTTCTCCAGCATCACATCTCGGTACAACTTCCTCTGGGCAAGGTTCAGCAGTCGCAGCTCCTCCTCAGAGAAGACCACAGCCACGTCCTTGAATGTCACTGGCTCCTACAACATCAAACACACTCCACCTAAATCCTGCAATATAGGTCCACTGGAAGACAGATAGCACTGAGAAATGTGAAAAAGATGTGTAGGGAAAGGTGCCAGATTCTTAAGAGACCATACTCAACTTTACTATCATATAGTTAAACATTCCATATAAAGTGTATTATATTTTAGAGATTTTTCCTTTTTATAATAAAGGCTGTAAAGAACAACTTTTTACATAGATATTACCCACCTATTTTCTTAGGTAAGTTCCAAGAAGTGAAAAACCACAATGTCAGAGAATATGCAACTTCCAAATTATGATGTACGACAGATCTTCTTTCCAATTTTTCCCTATCTTATCCTATCCCCAAGAGAAAGTAAATATCATTGATTCTCCATACCATATATAACATTGAATATAACTGACTTTTTCAAAATCCTAGGCAATCTGTTCAGTAAGAAACAACTTGGTTTTTTGGTGTGTACTTAATTAGTAAGATCATATTTTCATATATTTACTGGACATCTTTATTTTTCTTTGGTATCTCGCCTGTTACTGTCCTTTTATTGATATTCCATTTAGAGTTTTATCTTACAACTCTGTAAAATTTCTAGTGATGATTTTAAGTCTTTGTTTTTTTTAGCATATACGTTGTTGTTCACCTACATTTTGCTGGTGTCGTATAGCTTTGTGTAGAGGAGGGTTTCTCAAACTCAGCACTATTGCTATTTCAGGCGGGATAGCTGTCTGCTGTGGGGGGGTGTCTAGGGCACTGTAGGGTGTTTTGCAGCATCCTTAGCTTCTACCTACTAGATGCTGGTAGCACCCCTGACCTGTGGTACCAAAAATGTTTCCAGATATTGCCGGGGGGTGGGGGGTGGGGTGGTAAAATCACCCATGATAAAGAATCACTAGCATATCGTATAGTTTGTTTGTTTGTTTGTTTGTTTGTTTGAGACAGAGCCTTGTCTGTTCCCCTGGAGTGCAGTGGTATGATCTTAGCTCACTGCAATCTCCGCCTCCTGGGTTCAAGTGATTCTCGTGCCTCAGCCTCCCAAGAAGCTAGGATTACAGGCATGCACCACCATGCCAGGATAATTTTTGTATTTTTAGTACAGATAGGGTTTTGCCATGTTCGGCCAGGCTGGTCTCGAACTCCTGACCTCAAGTGATCCACCTGCCTCAGCCTCACAAATTGCTGGAATTACAGGTATGAGCCATGGCGCCCAGCCAGCATATCATATTGTTTTAATCATATGAACGCTGTTCATCCCTGGAGCCCTGCACATTCAGGTGTCCTAAATGAATGACAGTGATCATAGAGAAGAAGAGGCCACTGGAGAGAGAATCAAGTAGAGGTGGTATTATCTGAGGCATCTTCCACTAACCAGGACAAGCTAGGCACCCACACAAAAAGGGCCAGGTCCTCTGAGTGAAGAATTCTTTTCCTTTGCCTCTCTCGCTTCAATTAAGTAAAAATCCTGGAGTCTTTTGAAATCAGTTGGATCTCTGGTATCCTAAGTGAAACTAAGCAACTTTCCACAATTCTACAATCTTGTTTCTTTGTAATTAAAATGCGCATGAGACCAAGTACTGCCTCATAAAGTTGGTGTGAGGAATAAATACAGTAAGAAAAGTATCTGGTAAGTCCTCTTGTACTACTGGACTTCTAAAATTAAGTACATTATTACTTGAATAAAATAAGTTAACATAAGAGTAAAACAATACAGATCAGTAAATAAACATACCTAGGGTACACCTCAGGCCTGGGTAAGAAAAATCTAGCTTTCTTACATGGAAATACCTAATAATGTTTTCTCTGATCAGAGATATCATGTTGCACGATGTCATATTTGAATCATTGATATACGAAATACCCAAAGTACCACACATCAAAAGTACTTTTTCAATATAGTGTTTCTATAATATTAAAAGTAAATAATAGCAAAACTCCTTCAAATTGCTTTTTGGAAAAAAATGGTTATTTGTGGGAAAACTGTAGTAACCGTTTTCAGTAAAAATTCTAAACTACCTAAATGTTGATGAATGAGGAGAAAAGTTATTTCACACACACACCACAGAGTAACATCAATTCAAGGGACTATAAAAATATGCGGCAAATAATATTAATTAGAAAAGGTGTAACTTGAATATTTTATCTATACAATGCTTACAAATACACAGAATACATCTGAGGAAAAGAACATGGAATATCAAAACAGTTGTTTTGTAAGGGAAATAGTAGGAAAATGAGAGATTTTTATTCTGTTACTGACTTGTCTATGCTTATTTATCAAATCATAAAGTCATAAAGTGAAGCAAGAAAAATTAACACAAAAGTAAAAAGCAGCAAGCATCTGGCACACAAGAGGTTCTTAAATGTCTGCTGTTCTCCTTCATCTTCCTAACAAAAATAAGGTGTGTGTAATCTTTCAGAAATGAGATGACAATTTTTATGGAGAAAGGGAGGTCCAACTCACCTTAGACTTCGTCATTTTGTCCTCCTCCTTCTGGAGAAGTGCCAAGTCTTAAGAGGGAAGGAGAAAACAAGGGGGAAGGAGAAAAAAGCCATGAGAGTTTGGCCAAGGATGTCACTAACCCACATAGCTGTTTTTTAAACATGAAATAGCAACAGTGTTCCTTCCTCAGGCTGGCTTGATGAACAGAGACTAGGCTAGATTCCAGATACTACTTGTCCCTCTGACTGTAAGACTCTGGCAAGCGAGTGACCTGCCTGACCACACACAGTGTGCCCCTAACATAGTATCTCCTTGTGGCTCTCAGGGTATGACTGATTCTAGGGAGAGCAGAAATTGAGAGTAAAATGCTCAGATTAAGAGTAACCTCTGGGGCCAAGTGCCTAGATTTATGGCATTGTTATTTGCTATGAAATCCTGGACAAATTATTAATATCTCTGTGCCTCAGTTCTTTCACGCATAAAATGAAGAGATTAACAATGAGAGAATTAACCTCATAGGATTGTTTACGAATTAAATGAGGAGGGGAAAAGCTCAAAGAACATTTTCAGAGTACCTTACTTCTTAGCTGCAGAAAAGCACATAACATTCAGTAACATAAAACCTGTCCTCATTAATGGTTTCTACCTATATATATATATATATATTTTTTGGAGACAGGGTCTTGCTCTGCTGCGCAGGTTGGAGTGCAGCGGCACAATCATGAACTCATACCTGGGCTCAAGCGATCCTCCCACCTCAGCCTCCCAAGTAGCTGGGACCACAGGTGTGCACCACCATGTCCAGCTAATTTTTTGACTTTTTGTAGAGACGAGGTCTTGCTATGTTGCCCGAGCCGGTCTCGAACTCCTGAGCTCAAGTGATCCTCCTGCCTCAGCCTCCCAAAGTGCTGGGATTACAGGTGTGAGCCACCACACTCAGCCAATGAATTTTTTAGTAGAGGTTTGTGCTTTAACCTCGCCTTTAACCTCTGAAATACCTGTTATTCTCTCTTGGTTTCCCACACTTAATTTGAGGCTTTTGCAATAATACTTAAGATTACAGAGGTCCTTCCTATTCATAGTTTTGCTTTCTGTGGTTTCAGTTACCTGAAGTCAACTATGGTCCAAAAATAGGTGAGTAGAGTGCAGTGAGATATTTTGAGAGACAGAGAGACCATGTTGATAGAACTTTTGTTACAGTATTTTATCATTATTCTATTTTGAGTTATTGTTAGTCTCTTACTGTGCCTAATTTATAAATTAAGCTTTATCATAAGTATGTAGGTAAAGGAAAAACATAGTATATTGAGGCTTCGGTAATATCCGAGGTTTAAGTCATTCACTGGGGCTCTTGGAAGGTATTTGCTGTGGATAAGGGGGGACTACTGTACATAGATGACTGCTTTTTTGATAGTAAAATACGTAGCATAAAATTTACCATTTTAACCATTTAAGTGGTTACGTTCGGTAAGTACATTTACATTGTTGTGCAACCATCACCACCATCCATCATCAGAATTTTTTCTGTACCCATTAAGTAATAATTCCCCATTCCCCCTCCCAGCCCCTGATAACCACGTTGTCTCTATGAATTTGACTGTATGGACTGGTTTCTAAAAGGTATAAGACCCTGAAAAATTTGGCTGTGCATGGTGGCTTATGCCTGTAATCCTAGCACTCTGTGTCCAAGGTGGGAGAATTGCTTGAGGCCAAGAGTTCAAGACCAACCTGGCCAACAGAGCGAGACTCTATCTCTAAAGAGAAAGACAAAATCTAAAAAAAAAAAGACCTTGCAAAATTTACTTTAACAGTACGGCCTTAAAAAGATTATCACAGAGACAGAGGAAATTGAATAAAAAATCATGACTGTGCAAGATTTATGCAGCTATAAATTAGATAATCAATGTCACTGAAATTAACAAGCTACAGTAAGTACAGTAATAACAACAAAAATGGTGATGTTTAACATATGAAGAAGCTGGTCCATGATGTTTCATTAAGGTACTTCACACATACCTGTGAAGAACCTACTGTTGCATCAGTTGTGTGACCTTGGTCCAACCACCCAAACCTCTGTGCCTATGCTCAGCTAAAAGAAAGGAAATGAAAACAGGATGTTAATCATAGGATTACTGTGAGGAATCAATGAGTGAATTTATGCAATGCCCTTGGCATAATACCTGGCATTTTAGGGAGTTCTCAACAAATATGATGATGGCAATTGTATCCATTTAACAGGCGAGGAAGCTGAGGCTCGGTGAGGTCAAGAGGCAGGAACAGTACCTGAATCTGGCTTTCATACAAGAGCCACTATTCCAAATCTTGTCTCTCTGTTGCTTCTAAAGACAAAAATAAGCAGATGGGAATCTAAGGTTTCATGGAAGGAGAAATGAGGGCTCCAGAGTTAGGGGTAAAAGGCAGAGAAATGGAGATTGGACTCTGAAGCCAAGGGAGCTGCTTAAGGGAGTAGAGAACAGAGTTGTGAACAGTCTAGACTCCAGAACCAGCCCACCAGTACTGGAATACGGGCATCTCCAACTTGCTAGTACTTTGTGCTCTAATGTCTAATCTATAAATTGGATATAATAATAATAACTACCTCATAGGAAGATCAGTGAAAGTGACTAAGTATACATAAAACACGTGGAACAGTTTCTGGCAGCTTAAACAATCAATAGAAGTTATGCATAAACCCATGCAGCTGCTTTACATGAAACAGTCAAGGAGCCCATCCCTTGCTGCTGTGGACCAACGTCTGTGTCCCCTCAAAATTCTTATGTTGAAGCCCTAATGTGATGTTATTGGGAGGTGGGGCCTTTAGGAGGTAATTAGGTCATGAGGGTGAAGCCTCCATAATGGGATTGCTGTCCTTGTAAGAAAAGCAAGTAACCTAGCTCCTTCTCTCTTCCCCGCAGGAAGATACAAGACAATAGCTTCTGCAAACCAGTAAGAGTGGCCTCATTAGACACTGGATTTGCCAGTGACTTGATCATGGACTTCCCCATCTCCAGGACTGTGAGTTATAAAGGTTTGCTGTTTAAGCCACCCAGTCTATGGTATATTTTGTTATAGCAGCACAAATGGACTAAGACACTCAGGGAGTCTGCAGCTTCACATGGCTTGATGATGGGGAAGCATGGGCTGGATTCCAGATTCCACTTGACCCTTCAGGAGAGAGCCCCTGCACAGTGAAAAATGGAGTTCTCCTTGTAGCTCTCAGGGTATGATTCTGATTCTATGGAGGGTGGAAACAGAGTAAAATACCCAGATTAAAAGTTTAGTATTAGTTAATTACTGCTTCATTTATTAGTAAATTATTCTTAGTTCTCTCAGTTCAGATAGAAGAACCCTTACTACAGAAACGGGAAACATAAAACCTTCCAATCTTAGAAGAAATATTTATTTATTTTTCTGAAATGGAGTCTCACATTGTGGCCCAGTCTGGAGTTCAGTGGAATGATCTTGGCTCACTGCAACCTCAGCCTTCTGGTTCAAAAGATTATCCTGCCTCAGCCTCCCCAGTAGCTGGGATTACAGGCACCCACCACCATTCTTGGCTAATTTTTTTTGTTTCTTTTGTTTCTTTAGTAGAGATGAGGTTTCCCCATTTTGGCTAGGCTGGTCTCGAACTCCTGACCTCAAGTGATCTACCCACCTTGGCCTCCCAAAGTGCTGGGATTATAGGTGTGAGCCACCACACCCAGCCTGAAATACTTTTAGAATTTGTAATTCACTTTGTTCTAACTCTATTATTTGCCCAGCAACCTCTTCTCAATAATGTTTTGCAGGGGGTATATTTCCATTGCCTTGGAGAAAAAAGTGATAATAACACATCAACCATCTGTCTTGTGATGAATGCTTATTCAGCTTTATATCCCAAGTACCTAAAACAGTTCCTGTACAAAGTAATTGCCCAGCAGAAATGACTGAAAGAATGAATGAACCCACCATCAGACATGGAGATGCATATAGGAAGACTAGACTAGTTGGTCTAAGGTCTCTCTGAGTTGTATAATTCTGAGACTGACTCCAGTTGGGAGGATTTGGAGAGCAGGGATTTTATTTCCAAGTTTTTCCTCTAGGTCTTTCACAATATTTGCTGTCCTTGGGCAAGATCAAAGTCATTTTTGGAAGGAAAAGCATCTCTGGATTTTGTTAAATACATCTTAGGACAGTACTCTCTGCTCTTCAAAGTCAACGCCAGTGTGAGTCACTGTTACGGAACCTACAGAATGTGTCCCTTAAAATACTGAGAACGAACACTGTTTTACTGCCTGCATAATTAGCACTAGGCAGGTGAATTTATTACTACTTCATTAAATAGATGAGTTTATTAACTCAATGAAGACTTGTGGGAACCTTACTAAAAGAGATGCAATTCTCCAGCCTCAAGATGCTCACAGTCTAGTGATGAGGAAACTGGCGATTCCACTACACATGGCTAAATGCCAGAGTAGTGCACAGCATCCTCTGGCAGCATGAGGAATGGGCTCCTAAGCCCACACTGGAACGCAGGGGGTTCTACGCAAACGTGGCTTAATCTGAGTCCTGGAGGATGACTAAGCTGTATTAGCCGGAGAATCCAAATCACTGTAACACTCCCAGAGAGCAAATGTCATGATGTGAAGACAAATAATAGGCAGAAAGAGATGGGACAGGAAGGCAGAATTCAAACCATGATGATGTTCAAGTCACAATATTATCTGCAAGTCAGCAGGAGAGCACTGAAGAACTTCCGGAAAGGAGTGTTAGAAACAGATTACTCTCTCAGACAGGAGGAGGCTTGATGGGGAGGAGGCTAGGGCCAAAGAGACTATGAGAAGAGCCACACTAAGAACCTCTTCCTTCTTTATTCAAATGTCACCACCTCAGAGTCTCTCTCTAGCCATCCTGTAGATAATTTCGGTCTCCTAACTGCACCCCAACACTTCCTATCCCTCATCTCTGCTTAATTCTTTTCTCTAAGCCCTTATTCCTCTCTAACATCCTTCTAGATATTTACTTACTTATATGCATTACACCTGTCTAATGGGGAGTTTCGTTTCCTGCTCCATCCCCAGCACCTACTATATTGCTACAAGCATTTGGAAGGAACTCAAAGATCTGCACAATGACTACTTTAATGATGTAGTGAATAGTTGATAGATACACCATGTGATCAAGGCTTCATTATTTATCACCTGAACCATTCATTCCACATATAATTGTTGAAGGGTCTACTCTGTGCCAGCCAAGGGTCCTAGATGTGAAATATACAGCAGTGAACAAAGACCTTGATCTCACAAAGCTGATATTATAATGGGCCACGAGGGCATAACAAACCCCCAATATATAGTGAGAGACACTTTTAAGAACAAGAAGGCAGGGTAAAGAAATAAAAAGAGATGAAAGGAGGGGCTGTCACAGAACAAGTTTTTGTCATGAAAGATTTCTCTTATATTTGAGCAGAGACCTCAAATATAGGAAGAGAAAGCCATGTAGATATCTGATAACTGAAGGCATGTAATTCAGCCCTGAAGAACACAGAAATTTTTTTTTTTGTTAAAAAGCCATAGGTCTGGTATTTAGCAAAGACATGGAATCAACCTAAATGCCCGTCAACAGCAGTCTAGATAAAGGAAATGTGGTGCATATATACCATGGAATACTATGCAGCCATAAAAAAGATATCCTGGCTGGGTGCAGTGGCTCACACCTGTAATCCCAGCACTTTGGGAGACTGAGGCAGGTGGATCACCTGAGGTTAGGAGTATGAGACCAGCCTGACCAACATGGAGAAACCCTGTCTCTACTGAAAAAACAAATACAAAATTAACCAGGCAAGGTGGTGAATGCCTGTAATCCCAGCTACTCAGGAGGATGAGGCAGGAGAATCGCTTGAATCTGGGAGGTCGAGGTTGTGGTGAGCTGAGATGGCACCATTGCACTCCAGCCTGGGCAACAAGAGCAAAACTGTCTCAAAAAAAAAAAAAAAAATGTCCTTTGCAGGAAGATGGATGGAGCTGGAGGACATTATTCTTAGTAAACTAACACAGTAACAGAAAACCAAATACCACATGTTCTCACTCATAAGTGGGAGCTAAATGATGAGAACACATGGACACATAGAGGGGAACAACAGATGCTGGGGTCTCCATCAGAGCGTGGAGGATCAGAAAAAATAACTAATGGGCACTAGTGACAAAATAATCTGTACAACAAACCCCCATGTCACAAGTTTACCTATATAACAAACCTGCACGTGTACTCCTAAACTTAAAAGTTCTGAAGGATGGGAAGTCTAAGATCAAGGCTCCAGCAGGTTGTGGGTCCAGTGAGGGCCTTTTTGCTGTGTTCTCACGTGGCAAAAGGGTAGGGGAAAAGGGGGACGGGGGAATGCTGTGTCTTCACATAGCAGAAGAACAAGGGAGGTGAACTCTCTCTCTGAAGCCTCTTGTATAAGGGCATTAACTCCTTCATGCCCTCATGACTTAATCATTTCCCAAAGGCCTCACCTCTTAATAACACCACAATGGGGATTAAGTTTCAATGTCTGGGGGACTCTTAGACAGTAGCAGGTGGGGAATCCCTCCTTTACCAATGGGGTGAATAGGTGACCAGAACACCTGAATTACTAATAAAGAACACAGAGGTTCAAGCTCACAGAAGGAGTCTAGGGCCTGGGTCTTGTGATTCTGATGTGACCACAGTTCAAGAACCACTGCCATTATTCTACATTGCCTCTTAAAGAGTTGACGGAACTGTCCACGGGCACCCGGGAAGCTGGGGGCATGGCTCTGCCTGGCACTCAGGCCTACTGATTATCAGCTCCCTGCTTCTCTCCAGTATAAGATGCCCCTCGAGCTCTCTCTAAGAGGAAAGAGCTGCAGAATGACTGGTAATGCTTCTGGAGGCAAATTCTCAGAGTGAAAGGGGAGGCTTCCCTTTCTCTTGGACCAGTGCTGTCCAAGAGAAATATAATGCAGGCAAGCTATTTGTGTAATTTAAATTTTTCTCATAGCTACATTTAAAAAGGTAAAATGAAGCAAGTGAGCTTAATTTCAACAATATATTTTCTTTAACCCAACATATCCAAAATATTATCCCCTCAACTTGTAATCAGTATAAGAATTACTGAGGGATTTTACATTCTTTTTTTCATAGTAGGTCTTTGAAATCTGTTGTGCCTTACGATTATAACATATCTCAATTCAGACTAGTCATGTTTCAGGTGCCAATAATAATATGTAGCTAATGGCTACACTATTGGATAGTGCAGGCTTAGACGTTTTTATTAAGGCAATATAGACCATAGAATCATCCCACAGGGACTTGCTAAGTTCAAAAGACAGCAAATTAGACTTAGTTATAGGTTTCAGCAATCACTATCATAGAAACTATACACATTTGTTTAAATATATAACAGAATTAAAGCATCCATAGAAAAAGCAGAAAGTGGGGAAGAAAAGAATACTTTTTTTTTTTTTTTTTTTTTTGAGGCAGAGTCTCGCTCTGTCGCCCAGGCTGGAGTGCAGTGGCGCGATCTCGGCTCACTGCAAGCTCCGCCTCCCGGGTTCCCGCCATTCTCCTGCCTCAGCCTCCCAAGTAGCTGGGACTACAGGCGCCGCCACCACGCCCGGCTAATGTTTTTGTATTTTTAGGATGGTCTCGATCTCCTGACCTCGTGATCCGCCCGTCTCGGCCTCCCAAAGTGCTGGGATTACAGGCTTGAGCCACCGCGCCCGGCCGAAAAGAATACTTAAAAATATACCTTTGAGGCCGGGTGTGGTGGCTCACGCGTGTAATCCCAGCACTTTGGGAGGCCCAGGCAGGTGGATCACGAGGTCAGGAGTTCAAGACCAGCCTGGCCAAGATGGTGAAACCCCATCTCTACTAAAAATACAAAAAAATTAGCCAGGCATGGTGGCGGACGCCTGTAATCCCAGGTACTCGGGAGGCTGAGGCAGAGAACTGGTTGAACCCTGGAGGCGGAGGTTGCAGTGAGCCGAGATTGTGCCACTGCGCTCCAGCCTGGATGACAGAGCGAGACTCTGTCTCAAAACAAAACAAAACAAAAATATATATATACACACACACACACACCCCCCTTTGCTCCTTCAATAACTTGTTGCATTTTTCAATTTATCTGTAGAAGATGAAGGCCAGCTTTAGTCTATAATACACAGAGGACTTACTACATGCGAGGCGCTACTTCAAACATTGTTACATATCTGTTCACAGAAACTTTACGAGGTAGTTATTAATATCATCCCTACTTAACGGGTAAGAAAACTGAGGCACAGAAAGTTCAAGTAACTTGCCCAAGGTTATTCAGTTACTGAGTGTTCCGACTTGCTACTGAAGTTTGATTCTGGCTCTGCCCCGCTGACTATGCCACCGGGTCATCTGTATAGTTAACTTGTCTGTGTTTGCTCTTCATCTTTAAAATCAGAATAAAATAGAACTGTCATAAAAAACAAATAAGCTAGTGCATGGAAACCACTAGAAATTCTCCAAGTCATAAGAAACACCCAACAAATGTCAGCAGTCCTTACCATAATCTCCACGTGATAAATATTAAACCTGGCCAGGCATGGTGGTTCATTCCTATAATCCCAGCACTTTGAGAGGAAGAGGCGGGCAGATCACTTGAGGTCAGGAGTTCGAGACTAACCTGACCAACATGCCAAAACCCCGTCTCTACTAAAAATACAAAAATTAGTTGGGCATGGTGGTGCACACCTGTAATCCCAGCTACTGGGGAGGCTGAGACAGGAGAATCGCTCAAACCTGGGAGGTGGAGGTTGCAGTGAGCCAAGATCACACCACTGCACTCCAGCCTCGGCGACAGAGCAAGACTTTGTCTCAAAAACAAACAAACAAAAAAGACTGTACCTTAACAGTGGTTTGATTTGTCTTTAAGGCAGTTTGTTTTAGATATTATCCACAATTGTACTCAACTTTTGAATACTCTGAAAAAGCTGATGGATTCTACAGCCCATCAAACGTGAGATAATGGACAAGGACTATGGGTAATCTTTCCATTTTGTTCTCTAATTGCAAGCTGTAGAACCCAAAATCCAGATGCCTGTTGGAGAGCTACATGAATCACAGTTACTCACTGAATAACTCCTCTTTGCAAACCTCTTGCTGGGTACTCTGAGAATATGATAATGTCCATGAAACAGAGGTCCCTGAAGTCTAATGGGAGAGAGATAAGAAACCAAGAGTTATATGCCAGTGGCAAGTGCAACTCCAAAAAAGCAAAGAAAATCAATCTTCTTCCTTTTCCTAAATTGCAACTCTTTCTAGCTTTCTCACATAAGTAGCATTCTCCTAGCTGCCAGGAGTCAAAAACCTTAGAGTTGCTGCTAATATCTATTATGGGCTGAATTGTGTGTGCCTCTCTCAAAATGTTAAAGTCCTAATGATCAGTATCTCAGAAAATAACTGTCTTTGGAAATAGGGTCTTTAAAGAGGTGATGAAGTTGACATACAGCAAGGGAGCTCAAGCACACAGAGGGGAGAGGCCTTATAAGATACCAAAACTGGCGACACCTTGATCTTGGACTTCTAGCCTCCAGAACTGTAACAAATACGTTTCTGTATAATCCAACCAATTTTTAGTATTTTCTTATGGCAGCCCTGGCAAATGAATAGAATCTCCCCTCCCTTGGCCTTCATATATAAACAATTAATGAGGCCCGGCATGGTGGCTCACACCTGGAATCCCAACACTTTGGGAGGCTGAGGTGGGTGGATCACTTGAGGTCAAGTTTGAGACCAGCCTGGCCAACACGGAGAAACCCAGTCTCTACTAAAATACAAAAATTAGCCGGGCGTGGTGGCGGGCATCTGTAATCCCAGAGGCAGGAGAATTGCTTGAACCCAGGAGGCAGCGGTTGCAGTGAGCCGAGATTGCGCCATTGCACTCCAGCCTGGGCAATGGAGCAAGACTCCATCTCAAAAAAAGCAAAACACACAAAACACAATGAATGATAATTATTAGTTTTTAAGCCTTACTGACTGAACATCTGGGTTTGTTTTGAAATACTCAAGGGAAAAAAAAAGTTGGTGGGAGAGGCAATAAGATTAGCAAGGATGGAAGCAGGGTGACTGTATGTAAGAGTTCATTATATTTGGGTATGTTTGGATATTTCCATAGTCAAAAATAAGGGAGTAACAACCCACTATGAATAGTGTGATAATTTCATAAAACAGACAAAAACACATTAAAAACTGCTAAACAGAAATGCATTAAAATGTTAATAATAATCTATATCCTAGTATTAAGAAAATTGGTAATATTTTATATTTCTGTATTTTCTGCATCCTGTACAGAGAACATGCATCTCTATGATTATAATATGAACTACTAATATTGCTTAAAATTAAATTAAATGAGAATTCTTTCAAAATTTTATAAAGAAGTCCAAACTCAACCTTTCTTTCAAAATCTTCTACAGTAAAATTCCAACCTCCGTCCCCAGCTTGATCTCAAATGGCTCCTCTGTAGCCAGTTTCCTATGCTTATTTATATGGATTATTTTATCTCCTAATTCTAAATTGGGATTTCAAACTGTGGGACCAAAGGTATTCAGATGTAAGGAACCCAATTCTAGGACACAAATCCCACTGTTCTTACTAGCACTGTGACATAGGAAAGTAAATTAGGCTCTCTCCATTTCCTCATCTGCAAAATTGGTGTAACAACAGTACCCACATCACCTTTGTAAGGTGAACAGAACCCACAACACAAAGCCTTTGTGAAGGTTCAGTGTGTTAGTTTTTATAAAGCCCTCAGAGTGATAGCACCCAATGTTTAGTGTGACTAATATTCATGTCACATTTTCCCCAATTACTCAATAACGGGACACTTCTGTAGCAGAAACATTTGCAATGAATGAAATACCTTCTTCCACTCGGAACAGAAGAGAAAGGTGAATGCTAGGTCCTGTCACAGTGGGGCTCTGCTGCTAGGAGCCAGGATGCTCTCTTTCCTCCTCTCCGCAGCATTCTTTCAGAAGCCAGAGCAGGGGAAGGAAAGGAGGCTGGGAGATTGCACGATCTTGTCTGAGATCCTGGAAAATCCACAGAGGATAACTCCAGATGCCACCTGTTGAGTGATGCACTCTTTCTTAAAAAACAGGTCAGAAATAGTCCAGGAACAGCCTCCTCTCCTGCAGGAATCAGAAAGGAGAGCCAGGCGCTTGCTGAAAAATGAATATTTTTAAGGTTATTACCATAGTTTTAATATTAATAGCCAACATGTTGCCACATTCCTGTGCTATTCTATACACATTTTACTTGTACTATATTACTAATTGTCAAAACAGATACATAAGGTTAATATTCCGTTTTGCAGAAGAGGAAACTAAGACCAGAAACTAAGCACCAAAAGATTAAGTTCCCACCCAACGTTATACCGCTAGGAAGCGACAGAGCTGTGGGAGGTGAGGGCAGGCGTGTCGGGCCGCTGAGAGCCCAGGAGACCCTCAGACGCCGCCCCATCCAGGTCCACTCCCAATCTGGGGGCTCTCGAACCGCCCCGAACGCAGCGGCTCCGGACAGAGTAAGGCAATCAGCTGCCCTGCCATTCAACTCCGCCCTCCGCTGCTCGCCGCAGCGTCTTTTCCTGCTGACCGAAGAGCGAGCCCCGCTGATCCTACGACCAAGCCATAAGAGTTAAACCAGGTCGCGGGATCCCAAGGCTCACTCACCTCCACGAGAGGAATGAAGGCCGCGCTCTCAACCTCTTGCAGCGGAAGTGCCTGGGACGGCAGGGAGCTCTGGAACTACACTTCCCAGCATCCCCGGGAGGAACGGCAGCCGCTGCCCCGCCCCTCTAGGCGGAAGTGCCGGCTTCAACTCCCACGGCCGAATCGTATTTCCCAGAATCCCCGAGGGGAGCAGGCTTCGTGTTCTCGTCCTCAAGTAGCTGAAGTACCACCGAATCCACTGAGCACTGGGTTATGGGTTCCTATTTCCCCAGTAGAGCAAATAACAAAGCCACGCTTTCCCAGAGCGGAAGTGCCCCCAAAAGTCTGGACTACACATCCCAGAATCCTCTGTAGGGCTGAGCTTCCCGCCAGCCTGCAATTTTCCTTTTGCATTAGCAGGTGGAATCTAAGTCACTACTTGTAGAGCTCAGCTTGCGTTTTCCTTTTGCCATTGTTCCCTTTTATACGTGACAGAAGTTGCAAATATGAAAAAAAGGAAATTGCAAAGGAATGCTATGTGTGAGCTAAAAACAGAGCTAATAAAAGAGGTGGCCAGAGCCGCCCTGAGCAACAAGCCTTTTTATTATATGGGTCTGGATTCATCTGTTATTAAAAATGCTCAAAAAAGGAGATGCAATCGTCCAGCAGGACATGAAACAAAAGCAGCAAAATTTTCCACTTTTCTTGCACTTAGTTGTCTTTCATTCTCAGGATACTGAAGAAAGTATATAGTATTGAATAGGGTCTACCCTATATAAAATCTTGAAAAAAATCAGATTAAGGAATCACATCACTTCTTGCTCTCAAAATCAGGATCTGTAAAGATGTCCTATGATTTGCCAAAGTGTCTATGTATATTCACTAAGGAGAGGGAGGTGAAGTGAGGGATTAAGACATGAAATGCAAAAAATACAGAAAGCTATACTATTCACTTTTCTCCTAGATAGAAACTAAATATTTTTCTAACTTTATTATGGAAGGGTAAAAAACAAAAAATAGAAGTTGACTACATAGGAGTAGATGTAAACATTTGAACAATGTTCCATTTGGGCTGAGACAGGGGACTAGCAGGGTGTGATTCCAAGACCAGATAAGAAACCTGCTGAAACTGGCAAGTGATAGAAAGCAACCTGTAAGTTCTCTTTGCTAGCTATCCGTATAAGACACTCCCACCGGCGCCATGACAGTTTATAAATGCTAGCTGTGGCCTGACCACTTTGGGCATATGTTCTCAGGGTCCTCTGAGGGCTATGTCCTGGGCCATGGATGCTTGCGTTTGGCTCAAAATAATCTCTTCAGATATTTTACAAAGTTTCAGTCTTTCCATTGACAGAAGCTTTACTGTTACTGAAGTCAGCCTCCCTAAAAATTTGGAGGGTGGGGTTTTTAAAAGATAGTTTGGTGGTCAGGGGGCTAGGGAATGGGTGCTGCTGATTGGTTGGGGATGCAATTGGTTGGGGATGCAATCACAGGGATGTGGACCTCTTCTGGGTGGATGCCACATGACTGGTAGAGTCAAGAATTGTGGGTCTGGGTGGGGTCATCTGGTCATCAAAAATGCAAAAGCCTGAAAAGACATAGCAAAAGGCCAGTCTTAGGTTCTGCAATAGCGATGTTATTTATAAGGATAACTGGGGAAGTTGCAAATTTGTGACCTCCAGAATAATGATTGGTAATCATTTATCCCTACATCTTAGCAGAATTCAGGCCTCTCTCATAATCCTAAACTTGTGGCCTTTTATTAGCGCACGTGTGAGCAAAGGTTGCTCCTTTCCCAAATAATGCAAATCTAAAGACAATTACCCTGAACATGTTTCTCCTATAAGTGTGTCTATATGAGATTTAAATATGTTACTTAAATTCAGATTCGAGAAAATAACCTTACTTAATCTTTGGATGTCATTGGACATTTGACAAACTCAATTTCCTCTAACATTATTACTGCTAGAGGTAGTGGTACTGCTAATATCTTAAAATCCACTTTATTAAGTATAGTTTATCTTAAAACATACCCATTTTAAATAATAAAGTTCAATACATTCAATGAACGTGTACATTTGTGTAAAGTCACCACACTCAAGATATAGATATTTGCATCACACAACAAAAAGTTCTCGTTTGCCCTGCTATGATTGTTCTATCATGTCCCCAGCCCCAAGCATTAATCTGCTTTCTGTTATGAAAAATTGTTTTCCTGCCAAAGAATCTCATGCAAATGAAATCACACAACATGTACTCTGATGTGTCAAGCTTTTTTGACACAGCATTTTTTTTTTTTTTTTTGAGTTGGCCTCTCACTCTGTCACCCAGGCTGGAGTGCAATGGCACGATCTCAGCTCACTGCAAGCTCTGCCTCCCGGGTTCACGCCATTCTCCTGCCTCAGCTTCCCAAGTAATTGGGACTACAGGCGCCCTCTATCACATCTCGCTATTTTTTTTTTTTTTTTTTTTTTTTAGTAGAGACGGGGTTTCACAGTGTTAGCTAGGATGGTCTCAATCTCCTGACCTTGTGATCTGCCCTCCTGAGCTTCCCAAAGTGCTGGGATTACAGGCGTGAGCCACTGCACCCAGCCGACACAGCATGTTTTTGAAATTCATTCGGGTTGTACTACTTGTTCTTACTGTTGAGTACTCTTCAATGATATGGATATGTCACAACTTATTAATCCATTTATTTCTTGATAAACATTTGGAATGCTTTCAATTTTTTGCTATTATGAGCAAAGCTGACGTGGACATTTCACAACAAGGAAATTCCCCTTTCATTCCTCCAAGATTTTCTTTCTCGGCTCAAGGTTTACTCTTTCAACAATACTGTAATAATTGGACACGTTTAGTCTTCCAGGACTTTTGCCTGTGGACTATTTTACCTACAGAACGTAGCAGAGGGTAATTCAGGATCTCAGGATAGGAATTCACATTACCACTCCTGAAGTCGGGAACGTGAACTTTGCTATTCAGGAGGATGTTGGAGACGGTAGTCCAAGAGCGCCGAGGGGTCTTAAACATCTCCAACCCAAGACGGCGAGACAATGGGAGGGGCTCTCCCTTGGCTTTCCAGGAAGTTTCCACAAGTTCCCCGGCGTCCGGGGCACTTCCGCTCAGGTGGCTAGGGCAGGGGAGTTCTGGGAAGTGTAGTGCGCACACTACTTGGAGTCTTAGGAACTTCCGCTCCTGGAGGGGAGGTTGCAGCCAATTTTTCCCTTATTATGGTGTGTTGGTACAGCTTTTTCTACTCTTCTGAGATTTTCCGGTAGGGCACAGCCATCAATTTAGGGGAAAAGAGTCAGGGGCCTTGGGAGGCGTTCCCCTTAACTGAACCTCTGAGCGTTTGGGTCGAGGCAAGGTCGTCCATTCCCTGGTGTTAGGGCCTCCCGCGTGTGTTGCTTAAACTCTGTTCCTCTGACTTTTTTTTTTTCAATTCTCCTACCATCTACTCACAGTGTTTTCACTTCTCCGTGGCCCTAGGAACTGTCTCCTTGTTATATTTGAGCTCTGGGATATTGCTGGTGATAATCTCAGTACTGTATATTTGTTTTTGGTTTTCTGTGAGGAGGAGTGAAACCGCATAGTGGGATGATAGTAGTGCCTTCCTAATAAGGTGGTTTGAGAATTAAAAGAGAAAGTACAAAAAAAATTTTTTTTTCCTAAAGCAGTCCTTGGGATGTGGTAAGTGGTTGTCTCTTTAATTTCCTGGGAACTGCTTAGTTTCCTGAACTCTGTGAACGTGACATTGCGTCAGAGGTCCATGTGTATTTGACTTGGCCTTTCTCTTTGATTCCTGTAGAGAGCGGAACAGTGTCTGACCCTTTTTTTTTTTTTTTTTTTTAAATGAAGCGGAGTCTCGCTCTGTCGCCCAGGCTGGAGTGCAGTGTCCTGAATAGCTGGGACTACAGGTGCCCGCCACCATGCCTGGCTAAGTTTTTTTTTTTTTTTTTAAATGAAGAGAGTTGCTCCCCGCATTGTTTGGGGGAGTAAGACGAAATGGGGGAGTAGAGATGGGAGAATATTTCTGTGTTTTCTCAAGAACAGAAGTCACTGTATTTCCCTGCTTTTTTTTTCTTTTCCTGACCTAGCTTCCCACAAGGGCTGCATTTCTTTTTCTACCATTGTCACTGAATGGTTCTGTTTGATAATTGTTAATGTTCTAGAAATTATGATGAGATGAAAACACCAAGGACTAGCCACTGCTAGCTATCAGATGTTGTGGGCTTTTTTTCCCCTCCACACTTTTATCATATCTATATCTTTATTTTTTCCCAAAGCATTGGAAATTAAGCCATAGAGATGGCATTTCCTTAGCCCTTAAAATTTAAGTATATTTTCTAAGAACAAGAACATTCTCTTTCATAATCAGTTTCATGATCAAAATCAGAAAATGGGTTATATTGATAACAGGTTATTTAACCTAAACTCCATGTTTAAATTTATTATTTTTAATTTAATTTCCTTGTAATTGATTTTCCTCCAGTTTAGCCCACTTTTATGAATCGTTTTTAACTGTCACGTTTCTCCTGTCACCATTAATCTGGCATGACTCTTCAGCTTTCTCTTTTTGCTCATAGTGTTTTTGATACTATTTTAATGTATGGATATACTGCATTTTCTATATCAATAGTAATCAAAAGTAATACTATTTTTAATAGCCACACATAAAATCAACTACCTAGGAATCAACCAAAAAAGTTAAAGTTATCTATAATAAAAACTATAAAACACAGATTTTAAAAATTGAAGAGGACACCAAAAAATGGAAAACTGTCCCATGTTTATGGATTTGAAGAATCAGTAATGTTAAAATGTCTATACTACCCAAGCAATCTACAGATTCAGTACAATCTCTATTAAAATACCAATGACGTTCTTCATAGAAATTAAAAAGCCTCAAATTGACATGGAACCACAAAAAAATCCCAGAATAATCAAGGCTATCCTGACCAAAAAGAACAAAACCAACTTCAAATTATACTACAGAGCTATAATAACCAAAACAGCTTAGTACAGGCATAAAAACAGACACAGAGACCAATGGAACAGAACAGAGAACACAGAAACAAATCCACACACCTATGGATAACTAATTTTTGACAAATGTGCCAAGAACACACATGAGGAAAAGACAATCTCTTCAAGAAATGATGCTGGAAAAACTGGATATCCATATGCAGAAGAATGAAACTAGACCTCTATCTCTTACCACATAAAAAGCAAATCGGAATGGATTAAAAACTTAAATCTAAGATCTCAATCTATGAAACTAATAAAAGAAAACTTTGGGCTGGGCGCAGTGGCTCACGCCTGTAATCCTAGCACTTTGTGAAGCTCAGACGGGTGGATCACGGGGTCAGGAGGTCAAGACCATCCTGGCTAACTTGGTGAAACCCCATCTCTACTAAAAATACAAAAAATTAGCCGGGTGTCGTGGCGGGCACCTGTAGTCCCAGCTACTTGGGAGGAGGCAGGAGAATGGTGTCTGAGGCAGGAGAATGGTGTGAACCCAGGAGGCGGAGCTTGCAGTTAGCCAAGATCACACCATTACACTCCAGCCTGGGCGACAGAGCAAGACTCCAACTCAAAAAAAAAAGAAAAGAAAAGAAAAGAAACTGGGGAAAATCTGCAGAATATTGATCTGAGCAAACATTT